TTTTAAATATATATGCCGCCGTATACATAAATATATGCTTTCAAAAATCTTTTTTGCGTTTGTTTTGCTTATTTTCCTTCTTTATCGTCCAGCGAAAAAATTTTTATTCCAAAAGTGAAGGTGGTCACCCTGTACCAGCTCAAAAGTGAAGGTAGGGGGAGAATCGTCTCCCACTATCGTAACTCTGGTCAGAAGGAAAGTTAGTTTAGTTTTGATCCCACCAATCGTGCAGTTGCTTAATGGGGAAGTTCTGGCGACATTTATATAACACCTTTTATTTATACACATCTTTATTTTTTGATGAGGTAAAGTATGAAAAGAAAAAATTACTGTTATTGACAGGATAAAAAAGCGATTTTTCTTTGATACAAGAATTTTGTACAAAGTTCTAAGTCGATTATAAATATACTCAGATTCATCCGTGGAAATGTCCGTGACCATGGCCATGTCCTCCACCATGTCCAAAGCCTCCACCATGTCCGTGTCCAAAGCCCCCATGACCTCGCGGACCACCACCGAAACCTCCTCCGTGTCCATGACCATGATGATGGCTGAATTATTCGGAAAAATTTAGTTGTTGATTTATGAGATATCTATTTGCCAACTATATAGTACTCACCGTTGACATTCCACTGCTATTGAACCTAAAATGGCAGTTATTATAATACCGTTCAAGAAAATTCAGTATTTTTGTGAAAATGAAAGTAATACTCACAGACGAGGATGGCTAGCAAAGCCAGAAGAAGCTTATGTGCGTACATTCTGAAAAAGGTTTGTTAATGAGATTATGCCTTTCTCCGTATAAATACTCTTTTTCCAAGTGGTATCAGCTTGTAAATTATGTTTTACGACGAAATGCCCTTCAGACTGTCTACGATTACAGCGGCATTCGGGCAAAAGTCTGATCAGCTATGGAAAACAAAGATCGTGAGTGTGCTTTTGCGGGGGTCATAGATGGCCGCAATGATCACGATTCATTTTCTAGCATCGTAAATTACAACTGATTGTAATTCTTGGTAGCGCCCATTTTTATTTTCTCTGATAAACCAACTAGAAATACTTTGTTGAATCCCTACAATAGTTTATGGTTGTGAAAAGACTTGTGCAGAAGCTCTCAAGCTTAGGTACAAATCCTCGTTTTCATTTGTAAGATTTAGTACGACAACGACAGCTGCTTATTATCTATCGCCCACATTCATCAGTATATAATAAGCTCTAATGTCTTCCACAAGGAGTGTCTCTTCAGCCGCGATCTGGCCGAATCGCAGTGTGACCGATGCTTAGTAGTTCATTCATAAGCCGTGTCAAACATACCGTAACACTTTTAATGTTCTCTAAAAAAGTTATACCATAAAATAGGTTTAAAAACTCGTTAGGGGACCGGAATCAGCGTGCTTGGAAAGCCCTTCACATAACTTATCAGATTTTTCCTTGAAAGTTTTTCTGGAGGTAGGCTGATTCGCAATGAAGTTTATGTGCTGGGAGTTCATACTTTGATCCTCAATAATAGAAAATAATCAGTGATTTACTTCATACTGTAAATCTAATTTGTCGTACTGTAAATCTAGCCTCTTCAGGGGGAGACGGTCAAGAGGCGCGATTTCTCTGACTGTCACCAACTTAAAAGCCCACTTCTGCACTACACAAATTTTCAAAAAATTCCAGAGAATGTCTTTAGCTTACTAGCTGTTCAAAGTTACCGTTTACTGAGTTTCACGGCTTTTGCTGCAAAAATGAGCGAAATATTCACGAAATTGCCATTATTTAAACTTTCATGGGTTTTTGACCTCCAATGTTTCTGTTTTGGATCTTTTCAAGATGATAAGATCAGACTGCTCATGCAACGATCTTCTATAACTTCTCAGAAATTTGAAAGGCCCCTAGAACATTAATAAACATTTAAAATGTGCAATTTGATGTCCAGCTGGCAATAAAAATCGCGCCTCTTGACATACACCCCTCTTCGGGATGCTCTAAAGCCGACAAAAGCCTTTGTGAGAAGAAAATCAAGAATCAACTTTTGCATACTTTCAAGGCACCCCGTATATCCCGCACAAAATTTGACCTGCTCATAATTACCAAATTCTATCGACTTGATGACTTTCATGACTTCGGGCAGTTAAAAAGTGCTGGCCCAGTTTAGATCCAGAGTACAAGTAAATCATTATTTTCTTTTAACCGTCGTGATATTGCCGAGACTTTCGCGCTCAGTCATTATAAGCTGACTCTAGGATTCTCAAACAGTTTGAAGATTGCGTGATGCTCTTAACATATTGTTAAAAGCTCGGATAGGAGCTGCATGAGCGTATCAGCTAGAGTATCAGTATTAGAGAATCTATGCCACTGGCAGCTCTTTCAGGATCCAAAGTCTACGCATATTGATGGAAGTTATAGTCCTACTTTTGCGTAATTCGCGTGATTTCGCCGCGTCAACGCAATGTCGCGCGATCAACGATATGCCGCCGATTTTCGAGGCATTTCATCAATCTTGCACATTCTGTGAGTGGTATCGTACGGCCGCCTATATAGGATTTTGCCTGAATTCAAGGCGCGTGTTTCTGTGAGTCTCGAATCTAAACAAGGCTTGATTTAACGAGAAATCAAGCTCACTATCATAGTAAAGGCAACACTCAAATCAGATTTTACCCTCTCTTCATTCGAGAAAATCACAACCCTTTAGTCAGCTGAGATTTGCTTCTATGAGGCACAGCTTCGCAAACTAGTAGAATATCTATGAAAACATTTCCTCTTGTTTTTGAAGTGCGCACCAAAGTAGAAAAACCTTTGCCTTCGACACATTAATTAGGAAATTTAGAGATTGATTTAAAGAAGAAATTATAACTCTTCAGAAGAATGCTTGAGAAATACCATATTGGGAAAAGTAGTATTGCGCCTCTTGAGTGCGTCTAGGGAAAAAAATGTCTTTCAAATCAGTTTCAATTTTTACAAATCGGTCATGATTAAGTACTAGGTCTATCCGAAAGTTTTGTCGGTTTTTTCAATCCCTCGGCAAACACGCTAGAACGAAGATAAACAAACGCTTCAAAATGTATCCAATGCAGAATTTCTTCCTCTTTGAAGCCGCTAAACTCATATTGTGTTTTGTGGCGAGAGTGACGAGATATTTGCTGGAACAACCATTCGTTTTTACCATGTCCAAATTTTTCTAATTCTCAAAATTTTTGTATAGGATGTACCAACCAGCATCGGCCGTGCGAAGTCGCGCCTGCGGCGAATTGCGACGATGCGACGTGACGCGTGCGGGCTCTGCCACACGTTAAGGCACAGCGCATGCGACGGTGCGTCGTCGCAAGGCCTGCTGGCGAAGGACCGATGCCGGCTGATACAGCCTATATGAGACTTTCGGAGGAGCCCTAATAATTAGCAGATAGGGCAAAGCTTTTGCCAACTGAAGCAATTTTTTGGCACTTAATTTCAGGAGTGCGGATGACGTAACAAGTGTTCCAAACTCTTCATAATCTGAAGCCAAAATCGCTCATTTACTTTGCAATGGTAGCGGTAGTAGTAACCGTGTTGAAACCTCAGTTTTCTGTAGGTTTTGCAATGTTTGGTGCAGTAGCAGGTTATGCGATTCTTCCAAAACACAAGACTTTTAGAAGATTATTTGACAAAAATCTGACAAAGCAGCTGAAAAAAGAAAAAATTGCATAAGTTGGCAAAAGTTTTGCCCATCTGCTGGTTGTTAGGGCTCCTCCCAAGGGCTCATACAAAATTTTAAAAAGTAGCGAACTTTAGACATGGTAAAAACGAGTGGTTGTAATTTTCAGCAAATATCTCGTCACTCTCGCAACGAAACACAATGAGAGTTTAGCAGCTGAAAAGAGGAAGAAATTCTGCATTAGCTACATTTATAAGCATTTACCTAATATATACTTTTCAACATGTATACTAGATAGGGATGATTCCAACATGAGTTCGTTGTTCGTACGCAAATATATACGCAGAAATTTTCGTATTTCGTAGGCGAACGTATCCTTACATGCGAATGGGACCGATATCACATATTGTGCTTCAAATCCTATGTCCAAAACTTTTCAAAAGGTTTTGAGTTTGTTCAGCTGCAGTGCATCATATCCTGAGACCGTCCCAAAATGTGCGTGCTGTTTGAGTGCTTTCTTGTCAAGAAGTCTTTGGAGAAGCATTGAGTACCATTTTGTAAAGCTGGTTTTACCTTAGAGTTACAGTACATAGCGAATCACCGATCCCCTTCATTACTGTAGAACCATGGTAGGAACTTTGAAGAGATTTTGAGCCATGTAGAGTCATACCTGATCTCGAAAGGAATCAAAACGACTTAAAAACTCTCACTCTAGGCTATCTGGATCCGCTTTCAAACACAAATTTTGCATCTATATACATAGTGCTTCCTTGAAAACTTATGCCAGTTGAGCAATGGCAAAGTTATTTCGATGTATTTCGATGTCATTTCAAAAAATGTGATTACACAGTTTATAAAGCTTCAAAATCATGAATATCAAACTCACTGTACAAAAACTTTACCATACAAGCTTTTAAATTTCATTTCTGAAATTATCTGAAACGGCGGTTACAGTGACGCTATGTGCTGGAAGTTCGTACCTAATCCTTGTAATCTACAGTAATGAGAAGCGATCGGTGATCACTGCATATTACGAATCTAAGCTGAAGTCAGCTTTGCAAAATGGTGGCCAAAGCTTTCTCTGAAGACTTCGTGATAAAAGAGTCATCAATAATTGAACAGTGGGCCCATTCTTGGTATACCCTATATAAGGATTAAAAAATCCCACTTTTGTTTTTTTGAACCACTAGTTCCATGTTTTCGCTTTTCACATTTTTATAAAGGAACCTTTTCGAATTCTGAAAATGTTTCCGAAGAGTACGATTGGATCATTTTATGACAGCATAATTATCCAAAGACAAAGTCAGGAAAAGCTGATTTATTTTTAGTGTACAAAGTGTGGATTTTATACAAAGGTTCTTTTCGAGGGTATAATTTAGCGTTATCCGTGGAAATGTCCGTGGCCATGACCAAATCCACCATGTCCATGTCCGAAACCTCCATGACCGTGCCCAAAACCTCCGCGATGGAATCCTCCTCCATGATGTCCATGGAAATGATGATGGTGATGGCTGAAAATCTACTTTCAAACCATGCAAAACCTGAAAGCCATCTCATATGTTTTTTATCATAAGTAATGCTCACAAAAGCTGGGCTTGCACTCCGATCGAGCCTAAAATTATAATATTTACATTACAGTCCAACAAATCTCTAGCAATAAACTTACAGAAGACGATAGCCAATAACGCCAGAAGTAGTTTGTGTGAGAACATTTTGAGAAAGCTTAGCTGGTTGAAACATAAACATAGCTTCCTATAAATACCCAATTTTTTCTAGGTATCAGCTTGTAATTTACGTTTTATGACCAAATGCCCTTCAGTCCGTTTACGTTTACAACGGCAGTTCGGCGATTACGTTGATCGGCTTCGGTAAACCAAGTGGTGAGTATGCTTTACGAAGTCTTAGGTGAGAATGACCGCGGTTTAGTTTATGATATCGCTGTAATGAGAGACTGATTCGTGATTGTTGATCCCGCGCGCCTAGATGAATCAGCGAAAAATGTTCGTCATTTTTATGACATCATCGTGGTCTACTCATCCGTGAACCACATTCGAAAGCCTTTTCTGTACCCATGTGCTTATGAACACCAAATAAATGATGCTCATTGAAGAAACCACTTGTGCTTTTGAAGAAAAAACTGAGTTAGGTCGATGCATAATCAATGCATGTTTCTTGTCCTGAAGCCGCAGAGGATATATAAAAATTTATGAAACGTACAACCGATAGTGTGCGAAGCAAGTTCTACAAAATAGTATTCAAATCCTAGATAATCTGAAGCAGAGGAAATCAGGTAAATATTTGAAAGCTCAAATGCTAAATTTCGGGTTTTTGTCCTGAAAGTATCCTAACCTCCAACTTGCTTGCGGAAATTATTAGGTTGTCCGGAAATTAATGTCCGTTTTGAATTTCAACCGCAACAACTCATACACTTTTCATTCCTGAATAGCTTTCAAGGTATCATTCGATAGAGCAAAGCAAGCTCTACAAGATGGATGTCTTGCCTTAGCAACAGCTCTGATCAACCTCGAGTTTGGGGCCAAAAACTAAAAAGATTAAACTGTCCGAAAAATCAAGAAAAATCATAATTCAGTTCGTAAGAATTCCTCAAAAATTCTAACTTGCTCACGTAAACACTATCCACATAAGACATATATGTACGCTATTGCCGTATTTTTTCCTCTGTTAGAAATCGAAAAAACGAAGATTTTCATACTTTTGCAAAAGTGATGCTGTGTCGTTCCCACATAAGTAGATGTATACTACATATCTGTAGAAGTAAAAACGTGGATTTTCAGTTTTTTACAAGCTTTAGTTATCGAGAAAGAATTTTAGTTTGGACCACACTAATGAAAGCTAAATTCAATATTTCTCGAGAACTAAAGCTTGTAGAGAACTGAAAATTTACGTTTATACTTCTACAGATTTGTAGTACACATCTTCTTATGTGGGGACGACACAGCATCACTTTTGCAAAAGTATGGAAATTTTCGTTTTTTCGATTTTTAACAGAGGAAAAATACGGCAATAGCGTACATATATGTCTTATGTGGATAGTGTTTACGTGAGCAAGTTAGAATTTTTGTGGAGTTCTTACGAACTGAATAATGATTTTTCTTGATTTTTCGGGCAGTTGAATCTTTTTAGTTTTTGGCTCGAAACTCGAGGTGGATCAGAGCTGTTGCTAAGGCGAGACAGCCATCTTGTAGAGCTTGCTTTGCTCTATCGAATGATACCTTGAAAGCCATTCAGGAATGAAAAGTGTATGACTTGTTTCGGTTGAAATTCAAAACGGACACTAATTTCCGGACAACCCAATACTTGTCGCATCAGTTGTGCATATGTGTTGTGTATTTTTTCTTTACATAGTAAGAGCTGTAAAAATAAAATTTGCTTACAGGTTTTTTGGAGGGAAAATTAATATTTGGGTGTTTGAAATTGTTTGAGTTTTCACTAATCGCTTAGTTCTATCGAATAACGCAATTCATACATTTTTTATCTTCTCTGCCGCATTAAGATGAGAAATCAGTGATTTTGCGTCAGCCTAACAATTAATCTTATTGTTAGTTACACGAAGTGCTCATTTCATCTAATGATGTGCTCAAAGTAGAGATAGCGAGTGTGATGCTCAAATTGCCAAGGCCACTGAAAGCTTTTGTGTCAAATTCACCAAATTAAGTGATCTCTTACCCTTATGTGCGTCCGAAGCGCTTATCTCAGCCCAATCTCCCGATCGTTATTTTCTTTCTCTCTCTTCTCAATTTTTTCATTGTAAATATACGTGTCAAGAAATACAGCATCGCCTACGCAGTTGTCACCGCGGTCCGCGCTGTATTTTGCGCAGCTAATCCGCGGATGAATAGGACACCATAATACTCAGCAACACTGCGCATCTTCTAATATATAGGGGTCCCAAGTACATGTACATTGTTCGGCGTCTCTCTGTTCCTACAAAATATTTTATCAATCTTAAGACACCATTCCCTCTTCACGATTTAGGAACTCTCAACAATAATTTTACTAATCAGCATTTACGAATCGGTTGCGCCTTTTGTTGCTGTAAACCAATATTCACGAAACATTCAGAAAACAGTCGTCACGGTACACTCGACATAATTCATGAATGAATACCGTCAAGTGCAAATCTCTTAGAGTTGGCAATTCTCGTTCACTGATACGAAAGTTTTTAGGTTGTTCCGGCCTGCTTTTCTGGACTAAATAGGTCCTTGATGGCTCAGAAAACTCTCCCTGGAGCCATCTATCTACAGCAATGTTTTATTTTTTTCATACTGTAAATCTAGTTAAAAGCAGATTACTATGGTCGGAGGTATCAAAAGTCATCATGAAAAAAGAAATAACCATTGAACACCGTGATACTTTTGAGTCATCTAATATAGAAGGCCCGCCTCGAAACGGCAGTTGTAAGGTAGACTGTATCACAAATTTTTTGCTTAGTTCTGTTTTCTTGTTTCTGGTTTCTTGTGCTGACTGCAACTTTTTTCATCAAATTTTACTAAAAAATTATTACTCCCTGTGCTCATCGAACCCAGATAGGCACTACTTTACATCAAAAATGAGCGCGATGAGTAGAATGGTGTGTTTGGGGTCAGAATTCGTCCACTTTAAGTCTAGATATGGCGCGGCGACGCTGTCTCACTTGTGACATATGCATCCTTATCTCCAAATTAGAAGCGATAAGTAGCATCTACGCTGCTCAATGAGATTTCATCAGAGCAATACCTGTGAAAAGAAAACGAGTTGCTATTTCCATGCATTTGTACGCAGATCGACATACTAGACTGACTTTGCCTATAAGAGCAGTTTTTTGAGTGTCTCTCCAACATCCCTCTGTGATCAGCTCTACTGCATGCAAGAAACAAGCTTTTCAAGAATGGAAGTTTTAAATGTTGACTTTTCGAATAGACGCTTTATGATATAGACTACTACAACTAGAATTTTGTGATGGTGTCATTGAGCAAGAATGGCCTCAATTTCAAATTGAATTTTCGTTCATCTCATACACCATTTCTTCAACGAATGTCCTCGACAACGTAGACAGGCTATGAACCTTCAGAATCAAAAAAATCGATTTAGCTGAAACCTGTGCTAGTACAATTCTCATGGCGAACTTTGTTTTGATTGCTAACCTTTCCGACGGAAACGCTATTGAATTGCTGTCGGATCCAACTACATGAAACACACTCTTAATTCTTTGACTAAAGGTTATGCTTAGTCAATGATACGTAGCCCTTGTAACGTTGCCTACAGTTTTGAAAGCTGCACCGAATTCTGACATCTCGCCATTCAAGATGAAATTTGATTCACAGTCATCTTGGCACGATTTCTATATTGTAGCAGCATTGACTGTATTCTTTGTTTTCTGAGCAATTCAGGAGACTTTAGAAATGCAAGCGAAGCCGATAAAAATAAATGAGAAAAGAGTGAATAGATCATAAAACTATATTAGTACCTTTACTTGCAATTCTGCATACTTGAGGTCTCAAAAAAAAACTTTTACATGGCAGTAAATCATTACAGAAATCGTGAATACCAAAAAAGCATTTTTCCCCGAGAAAATTATTCGTAGCATCATCCACGGAAGCGTCCGAAACCTCCACGTCCAGGTGGTCCACGATCGAACCCACGTCCGCCGCCACGGCCAAAGCTTCCTCCGCGTTCTCGGCTGCGGTCCCTGCGGTCGAAGCCGCCACGACGGCCACCGCGACTGTAACCCACATTTTTTGCAAAGTCTTATAGAGATCTAAGAAACCCGTGCGGTGGTGCACTTACCGTTGGCTGCTGTCATGACTATGACGTCTGCATTCAACGTCAACTGCACCTAAAATTCGGCTTCTTGGAACGATTCAATTGTATGCCAGCAGTAAACTTACAGATAAGGAGAATGGCAAACAATGCGAGAATCAGCCGCTGTAGAAACATGATGAGAGAGTTGTTGATCAAAGGTTTGACTTATCCCTTATAAACACTTTTTGAGTCGGTGATTCAGATCGAAATAGTGTAATGAATGATCAAGTGTCTTTATCATTCCATTCACAGTAGTCGGACGATTCCTGCGTCTTGGCGGCGAGATTTCAACAAAGCGTTTGCCAAATCACGGGTTAGTTTAAATCGCATGGAGCGGAAGTGATCTATAACACACATTTTGATGCTTTATCTCTACTTTCTACGTTATCGCCCCGCTAGGTTCTTGAGCAGAAAATTTTTTAATAGCTTATCTGTATAAATATTTTCAACCAATTTGTGCGAGATACAACCAAAAGGCTTTTCAGATCGTGTTCTGGCCTCTATGTTAGAAGCAGTGCTGGCTTACAGTTTACATATTATCCAATTTGTTTTTATATCATTTGAATCAATTTTTTTCTTCCTTTCTAGAGATGCGTTTTTTTGTCTTTGAAATTGCGATCTTTCAGCAAGTTCTTTAGAAATTTGAAGAAAAAATTGCTCAAATCGTTCTGTTTTGGAAAAACTGTAGTTTACACAAAGTATGAGTCTTTCTCTACGATCTCTTTTGGACTGCCCTGCAATATCATGAAGTTTTTGGAAACTACTTCAAGAGAAATCCCAATGTTTTGAGTACCTATAGTTGACAGAAATCCCAAAAATTGATCAGCGTAAGCTTGAATATCTCACACAAATGATGCAGGCTTGAGCCAAAACTAGCAACTCTCACATTTCTGCTGCAGTCAGGTGCTTCTTAATTTTACCAAAAAATCAAGACCTTTAAGGGACTGATTTTTCGTCAAGATCCCAAGAGCAGAATGGAGGAAGACAGTGGCACATTGCCCAAAAGCTCTATTTATCCGCCACATAATCTTCTTTCAAATTTCAGACGAAGAATTCGAAGGAAACGAAAATTTGCATGCATTGGATGACGGATGGCAGACAGCGGTACCTACATTTCTTAAGCAAAAATGTATACGACAAAAACTATTAGGTCGGCACAAAAGTTCGTTCGCACCATTTTCAAAAATTCATAACTTGTTGAATTCTCAACGAATTTACAAGGCTCAAATTTTATATAAGAGAGGATCTCATGCTCTTTGCATATGTACCTGAACTTTTCGTTGATGTGTACAAATGAAGGAGATAGAAGCTCAAAACCAAAGTCACTCAAAATTTGAATTTTTCCTGTAGGGTAATAAAAATCGGAAACTTGCAGCAAAAATCGGAGCAGTCGGTACTGTAGGTTCTTTCATCAGCTCTTTCTAACAGTGCAAAGTTTTATGATTTTCGAGCTATCAATAGAAAAAGGAGAATTTGATTTATTTTGGCATTTTTCAGGGAAATCATAACTTTTCATAGAGACGTTCAATCAGCGCAAACTTTGCACTGTTAGAAAGAGCTGGTGAAAGAGCCTACAATACCGACTGCTCCGATTTTTGCTGCAAGTTTCCGATTTTTTATGACCCTACACGAAAAATTCAAATTTTGAGTGATTTTGGTTTTGAGCTTCTATCTCCTTTATTTGTATACGTTAACGAACAGTTCAGGTACTTATGCAAAGAGCATGAACTCCTCTCTCAAGCATAATTTTGTTCATACGAATTTGTTAAGAATTTATGGAGTTACGAATTTTTGAAAATGGTGCGAACGAACTTTTGTGCCAACCTAATATATTCGGCAATGACTCTCTCTTGAACTAAACAAGTTTGAAAGAAATTTCTAAAAATCTAATCAAATATTTTCATTGATTCTAAACAATTCTTTCGCTCCTATGCTTTTCGATAAAATCGTAGCCATCTTGCGAGATTCTGTGGTCGGTGTTTTGCACGAATGCAAATGACATTTAGTGTAACTGATACGTTCGAAAACGTTTAACATTCAAGTCCATGTTCTAAGACATAAGCAATGTAGGTTCAAGACAGGAGCTAAGCAAGTTTTCCTATACTGACTAACTCCAGTACTCGCAGATTGGGAAAACTAGGGAAAATAAATTCATTTACTTAAATTTGCTTTGCAACCTGCAGTCCACCTAATTACAACACATACATTTATAGCAAATAGATATTGTGCGATGTTCGAATTTTGCTTTGCACGATGAAATATAATAAATCATGGACATCCAAGGAATTAAAAAAAATTTTTTGCGCAATCAAAAGTGTGCACAGTTTGAAAGGTCTTCTGACGTAGTAGCTCTTTTCTTAACATGCAACTTGATAAGCGCTTGACCAACAACTTTTTCATTATTCAGCCGAAACGACAGCTTTTACCTTTCCTCAATGGTTCTCGCATCAGTACAAGCTGAAAAGATTTGATTGATGTCCATACGTCTGAGAGGTTACGAAAACAGTAGAATTGCTTATGCATTCTATCTGAAATTTTCTTCAGAAACTTTTTTGTTTTTTCATCTCATTTTTTGACGAAAATCTTTGCAATATTGAAGGCAACTCTTATATGAGCCTATTCCGCAAAAAATCCTTTCTTTGGATTTTCATGCATCTCATGATGATTATTTAATCTGAGGTAATCTCACAATGGACGACGTAATACTATCTTATAGATGGTTAGTTATCAAATAGCAAATATGTTTTTTGCGTATGACAACTTCAAGCTGGTTAGACTTGTATGCAAAGGTCATGTTGAGAATTTGAACAAAAATTCGATAGCAAAGTAAAGAATTTACTTACAATTCTGTGCACCAAAAATAAAAACTGCACCTAGTATACATTCTTTTTACACATCATAATGGTTTTCTATAGAAGTGCTGTTGAGTCAACAATGACTAGGCGCTATACGAGTGCCCCCAAGAAATCAAATTTTTAGCGCTTTCCGTGCCCATGTCTAGGAGGTGGAACGTGGTGATGACCTCCTCCATGAGAAGGCCCTCCATGACCGAAGCTTCCTCCGTGGTCGCGACCGTGATCTCTTCCACGATTGTCATGGCCATGATGTTGGCACTCAACGCCAATTGCTCCTGAACAGGCTTTTTGAAGACCCTCAAACTTATGCAAACAGGCTTACTGATGAAAAGAATGGCAAATAATGCCAGAATCAAACGCTGTAGAAACATATCGTAAGGTCGTTGACCAGAGTTTTGGTTCACTCCTTATAAACCCTACCGAGTCGCTGGTTCAGATCGGAGTTAGTGTAATGAAATGACCAAGTATCTTTCTCATCATCTTGATCACGATGGTGCAGACGATTCTTTCGTCAAAGCAGACAAAAATAAACGGAGTGTCTGCCAAATCAAAGGTTGGTTCGATCGCATCAAGCCCATATATCTACCTCATCTTCAAAGAAGTTACTTTATCTTCGTTCAAATTTACTCCACCTTTACGAGTCCTTAAAGGCACCATCCACCCAAAATCTCGAATTCAATGTTTTTGTCGCCTTCAGGCCTCCTAAAAGTCCTGATTCCGAATATGGAGTCAATCATCCGCGAAACCCCCAAAAATCCCTGTTTCGAGAACCCTCTGCAACAAGCGCAGGGGAGATAAAGCATGCAAATGGGAGGAGCGACCGTGGTCGCCCCGCCTACTTTGCTACTTCCCGAGCAGATTTCTCGCTTCAGAAGCAGTCTTTTGCGGCGAAGCTTGGGGGTTTGCCTAGTGTGAGGGCCCACACTAGTATGCCATCATAATCTCGCCGACCACCATTTTGGGTGGACGGTGCCTTTAAGATCGCAATCTAGCGAAATAATGCTCGTATCAGACGACAAACCAAACGCAGGTAGTTTCCTTCAGATCGAGCACAGAGAAAAGCATTGTCATCACATGGCCTTCTGAGCAACAGCAATGGCGGCACTGTAATTAAGCACAACCTCCTTATGTTAAAAGGACAATACTTATTCTGCATTTTTCAAATACCACGAATACTCGCGTAAGGTTTTAGGATCGACTTGAAATTATTCTAACAAAACATAATCATTGTGAAAAAATATAAGAAATAAAAAGATGAATTATCTTTTATTCTCAAATACCTTCAGAGGAATCCATTCTTGCTAAATAAAGGTGTGGTGCAAGAGGAACGATAGCAATTGCCAGCCGCTAATGCCAATGCGCTATTTGCCTTCACATTTCGCAAATCGCGAACTTATGAAAAACAGTAGATATAAAATTAATGCTCTACTCAACTTATTCTATAAGTCTTGCTTAAATCCCGGTGGTATATGCAATTTGGTGATGTTCTTGCAGGAATAAGCTTAAAATACTTGAAGTTTCACCTTTGAGAACTTTTTTGACATTTTCAGCTGATTTCTACACCCCATTTTCAAGCATACACAATCTATACGATTCTCCTGTCTAAATGAAAGCATAATAGAAAGAAATGTTCTAACTTTCTGTATGCAGATAGACAAAAAGGACGGTGAAGTATGCGCGAGTTATTGACACCCACCAGCTATCGTTCCTCTTGCTCGCCACCCCTGAATAAATACAACATACAACATTTTAAACATGAATCAAAATTTTGATACTTTGTAAATGACGCATACAAATTGATTATGAACAGCCGAAAAATATAAAATAATGCTATAATTCTAAATAATATGACAAAAACATATCAGAACTAGTTCATTTTTCACTACACGTAGAAGATCGCCCAATTCTCAGAAGACGTGTATTCAAAAGATGAGTTTTACAGTTTCTTATTGAAATCTTTTCAAAAATTGGCCAGACCCCCTTTTCTTACTGAAAAGTCTCGGAGAGGGTCTGAAAATGAGATTGTCTAAGGGAAGGGTCGAAACAGAAACTTATATTCTTCCTCTATATAAGGTCCTTTCCTTGCAATAATCTTTTCACATAATTCTCAGACCTGGGTGCGATAGGACTCAGACGGCATGCAAGATAATCTTTGAGAACTACAAACTACATATCAATTTTGAAGGTCAACGAGCACAGATGTGTAGGTTTGGCGAAGGTGATGTTTGTCGACAAGAAAAGTCGGACACATATTGTGAGTTTTCGCCATCTCGAAACTAG